ACTTCAAAATAATATCAGTGTCTCTCTATATGTCTGTCACAGTAGTGTTTCTTGGAGAGAGATGTTGAAACAGAGTTAGAAAGTCTAATTGTTTTTTTTTATAGATATAAGGTGACAAAAGAATAAAGAGCAACTGAACTATACGTTCAATTGATGGTAAGTGGATGCTGTGGCCCAGTGACACCTGCATCGAGTAAAAATCAAAATGCAGATGCGTTGTCATCCCTGTTTAGTATAGATTTGTAACCGGTGCAAAAGGGTCTCCGGCTTTCTACACACACCATACTTATCATTTCGGTTTAAGTATGCTGCAGCTATATTATGATTGTAGCACGAATGGGTCGGCTCGACCGGGCAAGGACCACGCTCTCACAGAAAACGAGCGTAAAATAGCAGCTTAACGCTGCTGTGTTTCGTATGGTGAGTGTAGAGAACCGGAGACCCTTTTTACTGGCAAAGAGGCATTCCATCTTAGTCCTCACGGGTGACAACGCATCTGCATCTTGAGTCTTTATTGAGGATATATGTAGATGTCTATGGGTCACAGTAACCACTTACCGTCAGGTGGACTGTGTGCTCGTTTGTCACTCTATCCTATAAAAAAAAAGTAGAAAAAAGCCCTTTCGCGAAATACTTTTACATTTACAATTCGTGCAAAGTCAGACATAGGTCACAGGATATATGTCATGTCAATCGTTTGTTGCGGATCGTTCAAAAATGTGTTAAAAATCATTAATACTATTATGCGACCCGAGTCAAATGAACGAATCATTCACGCTTGACACGTGCCTACAATTGTCTTTCATCTAAACGTAGTATTAATAAGACATATTATGTTATGAGGATGACAATTAAGAAACTCAGTCGCAAAAATTCGCTTTAATGTACTATCTATACATATAATAAAACTGTAAATAGCAGATGTCTGTACATTTTATATTTTTGTAATAAAAGTGATTGAGGGGTAATAAAAATAAGTAATTAAATACATTTCTACCATTTTTAGAATTTTCTGTCTGTCTGTCTGTCTGTCTGTTTGTTTGTTAACGTATCACGTATAAAGTACTAATTTATATCATAAGAATTGTTAAGGAAATTATAAAGTGTATCTTCGGGTTACATTTAGTCTTTATTTCATTAAAACCAGTTCATTCCATCAAAAGTTATGATAAATATTCTGAAGTATGGGTAGGGAAGTATAGGTACGAATTTGCTCAACGGTGGCTTTGTTTGAGTCATCAAGTGCATTTTAAACTAATATCATATCATAAATCATAGTTAAATTATGTAAAATAATGATATAATTACGTATATCTAAAACGCAGTAAACAAAAGTATTAAAAAACGTAATAAATATATTATACAAAAATATATTAACCTTATTAACTAAATCTGAAGCACAATAGTTTTCCCATTTCTTCGATAGATGGTGGTGTTGTGAAAATGTAATGCAATTGCAATGTTTTTTTTCCTGTAGATGAGTTTTCATATTTACTGCTAATCTTTATTATATTACTCGCTGCCCTACTGCGTGTTGATAAACTCAATTTATTCTTTACCGCCGAGTACTCTATGTGGTAAATCAAATTTTAAAAGAGCTATTAACAAATCGTTGGTTTTGGCGAGAGTCAAACTTTATTTTTTGCTTACTGTGCACGCACTGATTTATAAGTACTCTTGCGTTTTATATAATGTATCAATCGCGTCAATTAATCTCTTTTATTTTTAGAATTGATGTTAGCAGCGCCATCTCTCTTTAAATATATACATATAATAAAAATGATGATAACATATTGTGTCTCTTTCTGTACATTGTATAGGTATATATTTTGGTGGCTAAAATCATTATGGGGAACTGAAAATAATTAAATAAGAACATTTTATAATTTTTAGAATTGTCTGTATGTCTATTTGTCTGTTATTATATGAACGCATCACGTCTAAAGTAAACATCTTTTATTTTCAAAGAAATCGTTAAGAAAATCATAAAGCGTATCTTCGAGTTACATTTAATCTTTGTTTTATTAAAATTGGTTAATTCTATCGAAAGTAATGATTATTATTTTGAAATGTAGGTTCGAATTTGTTCAATGACGCCATAAAATCTCAGAAATAGTAATAAAAAGATTTGTGTGTAAAAAAAACGTTCCATAATAATTAATATATTTATACTTAAAACACAAAAAGAGATTTAAAAAGGATGTTTTCTCACACAAAGGACGTAATAGATGGAGTTGTACAAATTACAAATTTTTGGGAATTGCTGTGTTGAGATTTTTCGCCGATGAATCGTATTGAGACTTACTGAAGAAATTTGTATCCATCGAAGCCATACAACGGAATCCGACCAAAAATAAAAATTTTGTAACGAAATGTCGTGATATTGTATTTATAATATACGCAAAATCAGTACTGCCACTTTAGCGCTTTGGGAACTAGATTTAGCGCTTTTTTGGAATGTATAGCGCGCATTTCGTAATTTTAGCCCTAGCTTAATCCAGCGCTTTTTGGTGTATTTAGCACACATTTCAATATTTTAGCGACTAGCGGGTTATTAACTCTTTTATAGCAGCACTGTTAGTCCACATTACCGATAATAATAATAATGACCTTTATTATTTTTTCCCACAAATAGTACATTGCAGTTTATCTTTTTCAAACATATTTTTTCCACAAAACAAAGAGCATGGGAGACGAGTCCAAACTAGGATACCCTGTGCTATGGATCTCCTGGCTTCCCCTTTAGGATGATCAACTTGATTTTTTTACCGACGACTACAAGCGGGGAAACCCCTTTATTAAAGTTTTTGTTCATGGTTTTGGCAACGCATTTATTTTGCTTTATTCAGTTTCAGTTAGTTGCTTAGAGCACAGCTAAGTTAAAAGTTACTTAGAAGTTATAACACAAAGAAACTGTGTAGCAACCGCAATCAGATGCTGACATCTGAAACTAAGTTGCGAAATACATTGCACTTTAAAACAATTAATGACATTTTTATTGTTCGTACAGTACTAACTACTGTTGACAGCAATTGCCATAATTATAAGTCGATGTCCTGCGAAGTATTGATACATCAAAAAAATATTGCCAGAAAAAAAACTTAATGTTGTTTTCTTTATTATGATTATATAAAAAAACACAAACTTTGTTTGTAGTTAATTTAGCGCGAAATCTAGGGCTTTTTTAAAGCGCTGTTTTCATGAAATCTAGCGCTTTTTGTGTTGTCCTAGAGCTGAATTAGTTTTTTTTTATCTGGCAGCACTGCCCAAAAATCTTCTATTAAGAAGTAACTTTCCTTTCAGTTTTAAGCGCGTTCAGTTCCCAATTACAGTGAGCGTGTGTTATGCGATGACCGTAAATAAAGCGCAAGGTCAAACTTTACGCGTTGTAGGAGTGTACCTCAGTACTGACTGTTTTGCACATGGCCAACTCTATGTTGCTTTTTCCCGCGTTAGTAGCCCCCGTAACCTTTTAGTGTACACCCCGGCTAAGCCTACTTCTAACGTCGTTTACACAGAAGCTCTATCATAAACGACTTAGAACTTTGATGATAATGATTTATTTAGTTACCACTTATTGATACAGTAATAAAATAAATCGTTTAATATTCTCTTACCTAAACGACAAATTGTTTATGTAAAACCTGTATACGCGAGCTACGCCGCGGGCACAGCTAGTTAAATAATATATATCCGATTCAGTGCTATCACTCATTAATTTTTTTTTTATGATCCTGCAGCTGCGTGGTGCACACTAGTGTTGCCGATCGATAGTCGACTATCGATGATTAATCGATAGTCTATCGATAGCCAACCAACCGTAAGACTATCGATCGGCCTATCGATAGTATCGATACTATCGATAGCACATAACTAGGCAATACTATCGAATGAATGCAATACTGTCGATACTATCGATAGTATTGTAGTTCGTTAATAACAAACTATCGATATTATCGGTACTGTCGATTTTATTTGCATAAACTATCGATAGTATCGATACTGTCGGTTTTATTTTATTTGCAACATAAATATAATGCAAGGCTATTATTATTACGCAAGGAAAACTATTTGATATTAGTTATTCCTATATCCTCATAGTTAATTGTGGTTGACTATTATACCTGAAAATTATAAACAATACTATTGCAAATTGTTAAACTATCAATAGTACAAAACAATCGATAATATCGATACTATCGATAGTATCGTTGCAAATAAAATCGAGAGTGTCGATACTATCGATAGTTTGTTATTAACTCGACCGGGGTAGACCACGCTTTCACACAATACCAGCTTAAAATAGCAGCTCAATGATGCTGTGTTTCTTATGGTGAGTGTAGAGAACCGGAGACCCTATTTACTGGAAACAAGGCATTCCAATCTAGTCTTCAGGGGTGACAACGCATCTGCATTTTAATTCATAATCGAGGATAGATGTAGATGTCTATGAGCCACAGCATCCACGTATCCAGACTGTGAGCTCGTTTGTGACTCTTATTCTCTAAAAGAAGACAAACGAACCAACAGTCCACCTGGTGGCTACTGCAGGTTATGAACATCTGGTACCAAATTCAAATAAAGCCTACAGATGCGTCGTAATCCCTGAGGACTAAGATGGAATACCTTACAGCCTGTTCTTATACCGGTACTCTACTCTCAGAACGAAACAGCAGTCAAAGTTAAAGGTACAGCCAGCACAGCGGCTTCGATTTTTTTTTCTTATTTGTCAGACATGCAGGTTTCCTCACGATGGTTTTCTTCACCGCCGAGCACGTGGTAAATCAACACTTAAAATTTGCGGGGATCGATTCCTCTATCATTATTCACTGTGTCGATGTTTTAGTGGTCATAAACGCTATTGCTGATCATGTGATCCCGGGTTCTAATCCTGAATCGGCTAAAACATAGCAGTGCACGCACAGAAATGGATAAGAGGCAAGTACCTACACAGACGACCGCCTAGGCTGAAAATTTAATAAAAAAATCTCTTTTTACAGGTAGCAACACAAAGCAGCGGTCAGGAAGACGTGGTGACCCTCCGCAATGAAAGGGACGCCTTGGCGAGAGCTCTGGCTGCCGAAAAGCAAAAGGCGGCCAGTGCTGCCAGAGCCCACGATGCGAGGCTGGCTGAGCTGCACGGGGTCATAGCCGAGCTGGTCAGGAGGCGGGCGCAGGACAAATCCGCAAGGGCTATACCCGAGGAGGAGGTTTCTGGTAAGTTTTCTATAGGATAAGGGTGACAAACGAGCACACGTCCATTGGTAAGTGGACGCCGTGGCCCATAGACATCTATCTATCATCAATTGCGAATCAAAAAGCAGTCACCCGTGAGAAATTTGATTCCAGTAAAAAAGGACCTCCAGAAAATAGAACGCGTGGTCCTTCCCCGGTCGAGCCGACTCATTCGTGCTACAACAACACTACTAATACAGCTGCAGCATGGCTCTACCACGTTTGATCCTTCTTCGTTTGAAGTTGACTGCATGTGTTTATGGGCCGCAGTAGTCACTTACCATCAGGTAGACTGTACGTTCGACTGTCTTGTTCAGTTTTATATAAAAAAGTAAAGCTGCCTTAATGAGCACACAATCCACCTGATGGTATGTGCATGCAGTGGCATATTAATACCTAAAACTATTCTCGATTAAAAACTGCAATGCAGAGGCGTTGTCACCCCTTAGAACTAAGATGGAATTTGCTCCTTGTTGTTCTCTGCTACAAACAACAGCATTTTGTTAGTATTTTACCTTCGTTTTCTGTGAGAGCGTGGTCCTTCCCCGGTCGAGCCGACCCATTCGTACATAAACACTCACGCCTGTCACCCAGAGGGGTAGGCAGAGACTACGGACTTCCATTTGGCGCGATCCTGACACACCTCTCTTGCCTCTTTCACATCCATATATCTACGCATACACGCTCGTCGGTTAAGGGTACTCCTAATCTGGCCCATTTTCAATGTATCGCCGATCTGGTCGATAAACCTTCGTCTAGGGCGTCCCTTCCCGACCCTGCCGTTCACTTCTGCAACATAAATTTGCTTTGTCACTCTTTCCTCGTTCATTCTTTCTACGTGACCAAACCACCGAAGCATTCCTTTCTTAATCCTTGTCACAACGTCATCTTGCAAACCACACTTTTCTCTTATTACACTATTTCTCACCCTGTCATTCAGATTCAGCCCTAGCATACTCCTTAAGGAACGCATTTCTACAGCATTTATTCTACTCTCATGCTTCTTCTGCCAGACCCAACTTTCACTACCATACATTAAAGTGGGTACTAACACAGCATTATGAATAGCCATACGTGCCTTAGTTGACACATTCTGACTCCTCACAATAGCGTGTAGAGCCCCATTCACTCTATTTCCTGCGTTCACTCGTCGTTCTATATCCTTATCATATCTACCATCCCTGCTAAATAAACATCCCAAATATACAAACTCATCCACTTGCTCAATCAACTCCCCTTCTATTCTTATTTTACATAAAGTTTTACTTTCTTCTCTTTCAAAAACCATCACTTTCGTCTTACTTGCGTTCACTTTCATACCCCTTTCTTTCAATGAACAATTCATTAAAGTAACCATCATTTGCAACTCGGCCGCCGACGATGCAAATATGACTTGATCATCGGCGTACAAAAGGCATTTGACGGTTGACTCACCCATTCTCAACCCACATTCTTCAACTTTCAAAGTTTGCAAACAACTGTCCATAAATAGGTTAAACAGCCACGGGGAAGCCACACATCCCTGTCTGACACCTTTATGAATGCCAAACCAGTCCGAGTAGACCCCGTTGATCCTGACACAAGCACTAGAGTCCCTATAAAGAGACCTTAATGCCTGTATCAAGCCAGCGCTCAACCCAAATGAGTTCAGTGTTTGCCATAACACGTTCCTGTCCACTCTGTCATAAGCCTTTTCCAAGTCCAAGAACGCACAATAAACTTTCTGGTTTTTAGCCAAAAACTTCTCCGCTATCATGCGCATGGAAAAGACTTGATCCGTACACCCCATCCCCTTTCTAAATCCAGCTTGCACATCCCAAATTTTTCCATCAGTTTCTTCCATAACTCTTTCAATTAACACCTTAGCATACAGTTTACCCACAATGCTAAGCAAGCTGATACCACGGTAGTTTTTACAGTCCTGCTGCGACCCCTTTCCCTTATATATTGGGACTATAACGGCTTTGCACCAGTCTTCCGGTACCCGTTTCAGTTCCCAACATAAATTAAACAAGGTGTGCAGCAGGCCTGTAACCACACCCCCACCAGCCCTTAGCATTTCGAGTGATACTCTATCATATCCGGCTGCCTTACCTGCTTTCATGCTTTTCATTGCTTTCATTATTTCATCTACACTTATCTCCCTACCTCTCTCCACTTCTTCCGGAATTTCTATTTCACTTATTTCAGACGACTCTTCACTCTTAAACACGCTTTCAAAGTATTCCTTCCATCTCTTTAAATTCGAAACTTCATCATTCAGCATGCAGCCATTCTCGTCTCGTATAGCATTCATTCTAGGCTGTTTTGAAATTCCCCTGGCAGTTCTTACGAGCTTCCAGAACATTTTAATATTTTCCTGGAAGTTATCAGATATCCTTCTATCATTTTTATCTATCCTTTCTTGCTTTTTCCTTTCAACAACTTCTTTTACTCTCTTATTTATACGTCTAAAGTTTGCCTTTTTTCTTTCAATCTCATCATTCATACCGCCAGAATTACCAGCTTTAGTTGCTAGTAAATCTAGCCATGCTCTCTTCTTTGCTTCAACTTCCATCCGTACCTCATCATCCCACCACAACGTATTACTTTTCCTTTCATTCGTTCTCTTACTTACACCGCATACTTCGGTGGCTGCATCCACCAGAACTCTCTTAATATTATTCCATACATTCTTCAATTCTAAATCATTCATACATAATTCATTCAACCCACTTATATTTTCCCTCAGTCTGCATTTATACTTCTCTTTCACACCTTCATCTTGTAACCTCTCTATTCTTATACGCTGTAACGCAGTGGTAGACACCGATGTCCGATGCCGCCAACGTCTGAATAGACCATTAATTCGGCATAAGACCAAGTAATGATCCGTCCCTACGTTGGACCCCCGGTAAACCCTTGTATCTACCACTGCGCTCCTCATTCTTTCATCCACAATTATAAAATCTATCATGCTTCTATCATCCCCTCTTTCCCATGTATACATGTGAATCCTCTTATGGCGAAAGAAAGTGTTCGCCACAAAAAGATTCTTTTCCACACATACGGTGAGGAGGTCTTCACCATTCTCATTTATTCTTTCATCGCCAAACGTTCCTAATATCCTTTCATAACCAGACCTCTTCACCCCCACCCTTCCATTAAAATCTCCTAACATAATAATATTTTCATTTTCCTTACATTTCATCAACACCAGCCTTACCATGTCCCAAAACTGCTCTCGGATATAAGTGGGCTTAGACATATCTGGGGCGTACACCCCTAGCACAAACAACTTCTTTAAGCCCACTTTCATTCGTATCCACAGCAGCCTTGGGCTAACACATTCATACTCTTTCACACATTGACCCATTCTTTCTGAAAGGATGACACCGACTCCCTGGCATGCCCGCTCGGTCTCGTCTACTCCAGACCAGTAAGCGGTATACATGCCATGTGCAGTGACATCTCTTCCCTTTCGTTTCGTCTCGTTTACACATAACACATCTATTCCTCTATCATTCATCATTTCGCATACTTCATCCATCTTATCATTCGTGCCACAACTATACTACTAATATAGCTGCAGCGTAGTTCTACCACTTAGATACTCTACGTCCTCTACTCACAGAATACCACCAGCGTAAAATAGCTAGCAGCTTGATGCTGCGGAAACGGAAACTGTTTTTACTGGAAACGAGGCAATCCATCTTAGGCCCGTATTAATAAGTTACTCAACGATGAACTCAAGTGCGTAATCATTTGATACGCCTTCATTACGATATCAGCATCTCAAGATCGTTGCTAATTAATAAACATATATAAACAGTATCTTAAAACGCTGTACTTCGGAATACTGTTCTGTGATTTGCACTCAATTACACACACTTGAGAGTCGAGTTTCGTTTCAGTTCAGTGTGGCACTCAGCTGATATCGTAAACCTAAACCGCATCTTGAGATATGTTTATGAATAAGATCATCACCTCAAGATTGTCAAAAGTCAAATGCATGTACTTGAGCTGAGTAACGTTTGTTAATACGGGCCTAAGTCCTCAGGGGTGAACATCGCATCTGCATTTTGAATCTTTATTGAGGATAGATGTGGATGTCTATGGGCCACAGCAACCACTTACCATCAGGTGGTCTGTGTGCTCATTTGTCACTCTTACTTTATATCTATAAATTTAATAAAAGCTTCTATATTTTTGTGCGAATGACAAGCATCGGTTGTTTGATTGATTACGACGTTTGCAGACGAGTGCGAGTCCACCACCCAGCCAGCTGGAGAGCTTGACAACGACGCGGACAGGTCCCGGACTGAGCAAGTGAGTAGTTCGGTCCAACTTGTAGCGGCGCTCTCGTCGCGCCATAAGCGAAAGGCACCGAAGCCTAAATCGCGCTATTAATGTTCCCAAGTACTGAGGTATAATATATATAGAATAGGACGGAGACAATACCGGCTGAATACTTTGTCCGATGGGAGATCTCCCCTTTTTCTGCCACGGCCAGAAACCCTTTCCACCTCTAAAAACCTTCACAGTGATAACAGAATTACGGCGTCGAGATCTGCGGGTTCGAATCCTGCATGAAACAAGTATTTCTATGGCCTACAAATAATTTCTCTTCTGTATCTGGATGTTTGTCCATTTTCAATTTATTATTGTAAACTGACTCCACGATACAAGAGAAAATCATAGTAAGTTTTTAAAAAAGAAAGTAAAACAGAAAAAAGAACTTGCAGTGTCGTCCTTCTTAACCTAATTATTCTCTATTTATTTGTATACGTTTTTCTCCTCTTTCCTAATCCTAACCGTCGGCCGTTACGTCTACCGTTACAGTATATCTAAAATCCCCTGGTGAACATAGGACTCCCCCAAATATCAGTCTCATAGGGGGGGATTTGCCATAGTTCCCACGTTTGGCATGCGGGTTGGCAAACGCAATGTATTTATTGTTATAAAAAAACGTAGCTACCCATCTTCAGCTTTGTTACCCCAAGTCGCCTCTTACGACACCCACGGAAGGATATGGGATAGTGGATATACACCGCCACTACATTTCTTTTTATAGGATAGGGTGACAAGCGAGCACACAGTCCACCCGATGGTAAGTGGTTGCTGTGGCCCATAGGCATCTACATCTATCTTCGTTTGCGAATTAAAATGCAGATGCGTTGTCACTCGTGAGGACTAAGATGGAATGCCTCTTTTCCAGTAAAATTGGTCTCCGGTTCTCTACGCTCATCTTACGAAAAACAGCAGTGTCTAGCTGCCATTTCACGCTGGTTTTCTGTGAGAGCGTGGTCCTTCCCCGGTCGAGCCGACTCATTCGTGCTATAACTATAATATAGCTGCAGCATGGCTCTACCACGGATTAGATATCACTCTACATTATTAATAATATTATATCTCTGTCTGAAGAGTATGGAGGGTCAGTGTAATTACAGATTGTTAGGCATTCCATCTTAGTTCACAGAGGAGACAACACATCTGTAGCCGTCTCTGTCTTTAATTGACTGCACATATATTTTCTGTGATAACCGTAGACATTCAGATCTCAAATACGAAAGTTTTACTGGCTCTTTCCAGAACGACACGTCGTCACTGAGCCCGGCGGAGCTCCCGAGCCCGTTGGAAGCGAAGCCCGAGCTGAAGGAACTGCCCGACGATACCACCGACACCAGCACTCAGGAGATGCACGTCAGGTGAGGACTGCCTTAAGTAGATTCTTCCTCCACAGCTTCTGAAGCATGCAGGATTGCCTTACGTACTCTGCATAGCTTCAGAAACACGCAGGATTGCCTTACGTACTCTGCACAGCTTCCGAAGCATGCAGGATTGCCTTACGTACTCTGCACAGCTTCCGAAAGACGCAGGATAGCCTTACGTACTCTGCACAGCTTCCGAAGCATGCAGGATTGCCTTACGTACTCTGCATAGCTTCAGAAACACGCAGGATTGCCTTAAGTACTCTGCACAGCTTCCGAAGCATGCAGGATTGCCTTACGTACTCTGCACAGCTTCTGAAAGACGCAGGATTGCCTTACGTACTCTGCACAGCTTCCGAAACACGCAGGATTGCCTTACGTCCTCTGCACAGCTTCCGAAGCATGCGGGGTTGCCTTACGTACTCTGCATTGTTTTCGAAGCATTAATTATAAGAATCGTCGGAATAAGTCAGAAATTGGTGGTGGAAGGTACTTCCTCCGGCTTAAAATGCACCTCACCACCATCAGAGGGTGCACAAATCTTGGAAGCTTGCCAATGTGCGACCAGTACCCGAGAATGGTAGTTGTGCCGATCCCTGTAATTATCGACTAATCGCCATCACCTCCGTACTCTATAAAGTTACCTTGACCTTGACCTCCTCAGTAGACCATCAATATGGCGGCCGTCGGGGACGGTCCGCTGGGGATCTTTTTGTGTATATCACGCCCTCCTAAGGCGAGGCCATCGAGAAGAACGGTAAAGCCTTAGCAGTTTAATTCGATATCTCGAAGGCTTTTGACAGTGCTTGGTTCGCAATTCTGCTGAGTAAGCTTCCTGCTCACGGCATCCCCGCCGAAATTTGCAACTGGATAACTGACTTTATGAGTGAACGGTCGATCAGGGTAGTCATAGATGGCTGCTGACCTAATGTATATTAAAAAGGGTCGTCTACAGATTGTACTACGGAGAGTTGTTTTTTATGTTTATTATAGAATAAAGGTGACATGCGAGCACACAGTCCACCTGATGGTAAGTGGTTGCTGTGGCCCATAGACATCTACATCTATCCTCGATTAAGAATCAAGATGCAGATGCGTTGTCACCGGTGAGGACTAAGATGGAATGCCTCGTTTCCAGTAAAAGGGGTCTCCGGTTCACAGTATTGTTAAGCTGCTATTTTACGCTGGTATTCTGTGAGAGCGCGGTCCTTCTCCGGTCGAGTCGACCCATTTGTGCTACAACTATACAACTAAGAAAGCTGCAGCATGGCTCTAGCACGTACAAAGTGAAAAAAAGTGAGCGTATGAGCTTCATAAGCTCACACCGGCTTCTCCTTTCTCCTATCGGAGTACCAAACGCACTGCAGGTTACCGTCCTCACTTCCGAATATTCGCACTAAGCGCTACAAATCATCTTTCATAATGCGCACAGACAAGGAGTGAAATGCCCTACCGGCGTCTGTTTTTCCAAGTGCATATGACCTGACCTCTTCAAGGTGCGTGTAAACAGGCTTCTCCTGGGTAAACTCGCTCCATCGTAGACCTCATCGAAGCCTATTTTTAATTAAAAAAAAAAAAAACACCAGCTAGAAACTTAGCAGGACTTTGTTTAAATATTAATTTACAATATTAATCATACAATAAAGGATGAAAACATTTAGAAACAGCATCTTAGCGATCACCTCATTCCCATGGGCCTCATTATAATGATGATGATGTACTTTTAATGCGAAAAAGTCGTGAATTTGGAGAGGTCAACGGAAAGGTGCTAACATAGCTAGTATTTCAATAAGTATCAATCTGAATAACAGGGTGAGAAATTGTGTGATAAGGGAAGAGTGCGGTTTGCAAGATGACGTTGTGACCAGGCTTAAGAAAGGGATGCTTAAGTGATTTGGTTATGTAGAAAGAATGAATGAGGAAATAGTGACAAAGCAAATTTATGTTGCAGAAGTGAACGGCAGAGTCGGGAAGGGACGCAATAGGCGAAAGTTTATCTACCAAATTGGCGATATATTGAAAAATGGGCCAAATCTAGAGTACCTTTAACCGACGAGCGAGTATGCGTAGAGATATATGGATGTGGAGGAGGTGAGAGAGGTGTGTCAGGATCGTGCCAAATGGAAGTCTGTGGTGTCTGTCTACACCCCTGGGTGACAGGCGTGAGTGTTTATGTACCAAAGAAATTAACAACCGCTTATTATTTATTTCAGGGTGGAACAACCCCGTGTGGAGGTTTCGACCCCTCAACAGAGCGACCCGTGCGACACGAGCGTTAATTATTCGGAACGGGACTCCGAGATATGTGTGAGCACTGCCAGGCAAGTAGAGATGCAGACGTATATATATCGGAAATACATCAGGATAGCGTTAATTGTTAAAAGTAATAAATGTGTGAGAGCGGATGTTCAACTTGCTCTCTTGCTTACGCAGTTTAATCATTATCAGTAATAAGACAACGTAACGCACTATACATTCAGTATAGTGAAATTACAGTTCGACCACACCGTAACACGTCTCCGCCACAATCACACACCAGTGTAACGTGAGGTACGTAATTACATGATAACACCAAAATATGTACAGCAACAGCAACACCCATCCTTTTTGCCTGCACTAGAATAATTACAACAACGAACAGAACCACCACACTATCGTAGCACTAGTAGACTGACCACATTCGTAGAATGACTTGATGTTTCAAGCACTTTACATCACCCATGGTCACGGGGGGTGGGTGGGGGAGGGGTTCGACGTCCTAATGTCATAATTAAAAGGGGAGGGGCTTCGACGTCCTAATGCCATAATTCAAGGGGGGGGGAGGGCTTCGACGTCCTAATGTCATAATTCATATGGGGGCGGGGCTTCGACGTCCTAATGTTATAAATCAAAGGGGGGGGGGGGGCTTCGACGTCCTAATGTCATAATTCAAATTCAAATTACCAGACCATGGGTGTTGTGTAGGATAGTTGGGTGATAGCATCCGCTTGGGATCCTATGACTATGATGACATTGAGATGTCGAACACCTAAGTCTGTCCGAGACCATGGGTGCTGTAAAGTGCTCGAAACGTCGGGAATATAAAATAAGTTCGTATACGCGAAAAACTTGTTTGATTTAAATGTGTAGTGTTCGCGTAAATATAAGAAAATTATTAACTGTTGCCAAGTTGGGTAAGTGCGGCAAGTATAGTACCTGAGACAATGTAAGAGGAAGGTCTATATTCAACAGTAAACTTTGATATGCTGTAATGATGATGACGATGATTAAATACGCTGGAACGACTTGCAGGTGCTGCCAATACGCGAGGGCTGCTCACCTGCTGGGAGACAGCTACGAGGTGCCGGAAGGTCTGCTGCCGCCGTCCCCGGGTAATATACGAAGTAATTTATTCATAGTTTGGCAACTCTGAACTTATTTATTTATATAGAACCAGTGTAAAATTAAACAAAACAGTGACGTTCAATAATTATTATTTATAAAATACCAGCTGGTACCGGGCGTGTTGCAGTCGCGGAAGAAATAATTGTGGAAATATAGTTTTAAAATTGCAAGAACTATATTGTTTAATTGTTTTTCCTTTATTTTTTTTTTTGCTTTTAAAAACGTAACCTCCACACTAGGATTTTCTGCTGTATCCTGGGGAGTGTTGACATACATAAATTTCACAAGGACTAACATACAGACCCGGAACAATTAGTTTGTAGGTCATACAAATACTTGTTCTGTGTGGGATTCGAACCCGCGGCCCTTGGCGCTGCAACTTATTGGTAAGCCACTGCGCCACAGAACCGTCGTTAATTAGGAATGCTAATACATTCATTGAAGTTGAATTATATATAACTTACAAATAAATTTGTCGGTACGGCACACGCGCCACCTACTGTAAGTTAATTGTACTACTATACCTATAACCTTCGTGCAAGTGCAAGCAATAAGTTCACAAAGTTTTAGCGCTATCTGATGAACAGTATGTCAGCGCATAAAATACGAACAAACAAACTAACATTAATTTTTATATATTAGATATCGAATAAAAAAGTTTCCGTTTCTATTTCTGTTTATATGCATGTAAATCTATACAAATAAATAAAATTGAAGTGTTTGTTTGTAATGTAAAAATAACAGCTTTTTTGCTAAATGCGTATGAAAGTATTATACCGTACTTATAACAAAAAAAAACGATTTTAAAAAAAATCTGTGTGTTTCTTTCGGCTAATTTCCGACACTAATAGCTAATTTTATAAGGAGTTACTTACTACTATTATTTCAGGAAAAGAATTAGGGTTCCGCGTAAAAAAATTAAAACTCATGAAATCCAATCGTAATTTCATGCGCGCTAAGTCGCGAGGAACAGTTAGTGAAGTAATAAAAAACCGTCTTAAGAACACTTGGGTCTTACTGGCAAGTCCACTAAGAAATTTTCTTCCAATAGACATGATGTGTCAATCGTGAACGAATCGTTCAATTGACCCGGGACGCATCAAAGTATTGATGATTGCAATTACATTTTTTGAACGTTCCGGGATCAAACGATTGACAAGACATACTACCAAAGAGTGTAGTAATGTCAGATGACCGACATTATCGAGCGGGTCTCACTTATCACAGGGTACTAAAACTCGGAATGATCCATTTGATTGATCGAGCCGAATGACCCAGTTCGTAAGATGAATCGATACATGAATGATCGCGTCAATAGAAATGAATGAATACACATGTATATTTCCCAATAGTGTCTTGTAAGACCACTGGGGAAGAAAATTTTTAGTAGTCCTTTTTCCAGGCGAGTGAAAAAATATATCGATATTTTTAAACCGTATCAGACAGTACCGATATAGTAACGCGTGATTAATGTCGATATATCGATATGTCGTCATGTTTTGAAGAAAAAAAACTGCATATGAATTCTTTTGTAGTTTAAAATATATTATCTATTAAATTAAAAAAATAATTATATTATTTTCAAATATATCGACATGGATACGAATTCGATACTCTAAAACAAATATAGTATATCGATATATCGTGGTAAAAATATCGATATATCAAATTATCAATATTTTGCTGAGAATATATCGATATTTCGATATATCGATATCTTTTACCCAAGCTTAGTAGTCCGACTCTGGAAGTTATATGCGCAGGACAGAATTATAGTGTACTAGCTGTTCTCCGCGACTTCGCCCGCGTGTAATTTAGGTTTTTAATTTTACGACGCGGAACCCTAATTATTTTTCTTAAATAAAAGTAGCCTAAGTTACTGTTTATATCATCAGCTATCTGCACGTGAAAGTCGTCGGTCCAGCCGTTTCGGAGATTAACCAGAACAAACAGACAGACAGACAAAACTTTTAAAACGTGTGTTTTTGTTATAACTACCGCATATAATAATGTGCTGTGTGCATCCAATAGATGTGCCTCGATTTTTGACATGTAATAAGACCATAGCCGTTTGCTATACTCAATGTTTAACAATATTAGAAAGTGTGCAATGTTTTAAATTTGTCTATGCAATTGTTTTCAACTTTCCCACATTTTTATTTTTATTTTATGTTAATCTGAATTTTAAATGTTATTGTCAATGTTCTTACAATAATGATATCACATCACACAATGATAAAATAATGTCGCTCCAGCATTTGTTCAGATGTAAATATACATATCTATTTTAAGTCAATCTTGTATTTCTCAGACAAATGAATGATTTATTCTTATGAGAAATAAATTTCTTCTTTCTTCTTTCTCTTAAACTAGAAACCAGACATACTTTAATATGCATTTAGTGAAAATGTGTTATTTTGACATTATAAACAGACACTCCTATTATATTTATTTGTACAGATTATTAATATATTTTTGTATCAGAAGTATCAGGCGAACAGTAGTCAATATAAGTACTATTCGTGTTCAAAATATACAAACTTAGAACTATCACACCGCCTCTTGCAACTTTATGTTTGCCTAGTACTGTTCCTAAAATAAACTTGAGTAACTACTACTGACTAACTGATGACAAGTTTCGTGTACTTAGTGGGACTACTGAGAATTTTCTTTCCCAGTGGTCTTACCAGTAAACACACACGGTAAATAGGTATTTTTTTTATAAATAGGTATAATAGGTGACTAACGAGCACACAGTCCAGATGGTAAGTGCATGCTGTGACCCATAGACGTCTACATCTATCTTCAATAAAGAATCAAAATGCAGATGCGTTGTCACTCATGACTAAGATGGAATACTCGTTTCCAGTAAAAAGGGTCTCCGGTTCTCTACACTCATTATACGGGATACAGCAGCGTTAGACAGCTATTCACGCTGGTAGACAGTGATAGCGTGGTCCTTTGAGCCGACCCATTCGTGCTACAACTATAATATAGCTGCAGCGTGGCTCTACTACGATAAAATCCTTGACATCTACATAAGGTTTTTGTTTCAGGTCGTTGCGAGTCCCGACAAGCCAAATTAGCGTCGAGGGTACGTCTCAGGCGCACCGAGGAAACCGACTCCACCAACCACTTGAGTACCGACGAGGTGAGGCAAGAGATTAGTATATTATATTCATTGCAGGATGAGATAAGTGGAACTTGATGAAATCACCGTGTGACGGTGGTGTAAGAATATCCACTATCTCCCGCGCATGCGCGTAGTATATATAACTCAATGATTGTTTCCTTTGGCCGGTTATTGCAAAATAACCGTGTATATATAATTATCCAGATAACCTAAATCTTGATAACTATCCCGTGCAATCCTGTTCAGCGGTTGACTTTTTATATGCTGTAATAAGAAATAATTAAGATGCAGTATCCATTTTATTTTACAGACGCGGGTTAACCTCATCGAGGAGTCAGCCCTGCGACTGCACGACGAGGAAGACCTTCTGGCACTGGAGCCACACGGTATCTCACATTAAAATATTTCGCATATAGTGATCGCACGATATCGTCACGTGGATGTCGTAAAAGGCGGCTTTGACCAACCATGAAATACTTATTACCACTTTCACTATCCGGAAAGGGCCCCGCAACGTCAATGGCTATCTTCTCCCATGGTGCACCAACGTTGTACAATTTCAATGCGCCTCTACTACCAGTTTGAGGTTCCTTTACAGCCGCACAATTGTACAAGTTGCGGCACAGTCCTCGACATCGTCACGACAGTGGACCCAGTAAAACCTTTCTCGGATCTTCAGTAGAGTTCGTTTAACTTCCAGGTGGCCTCCTGAAGAACCACTATGGTACAGCTGTAGAACATCCGGTACTTTAGCCTTAGGGACAACCATTTGCAAATGACAACTGTCTCCCCGACCATTTTCCCATTTACCTAGTGGTCGTAAGATCCCGGGTTAGAGTCCCGGGTCGGGTTGGAAACAGTTTTTGGGCTTTTCTGTCAACAAAGTAGCAGCCTAAAGTCTTAGAAGTTTGCATTGTCACTCTTGCTTACCAATGGTATAACTATTATCTCACTAGCACTTCAATAATCTATTGACGACGCTTGTGTATCTGTTTTTGGGGCACACAATAATGCTTTCAAGGATAATAATTAATTATTGTGTTTGATTCTTATTCAGGAAAAAGAGGAATATTTTTTTTTGTGCTTAGTGTAACTAGAGTATTTTTTTACATTCATCGTCTTAGAATTTTACTTACTTACATCACATTTTAAAATCTTGATTAGTTTTGCAAATTTGTATAATAACTTGTCATCGTAGTTTTGCAAAATGTTTTTACCGTGACAAATGAAAGTTGATTAAAAGCTAAAAGTTAAGTTGAAAGATTAAGTTAATTTTATTTTTTTCTTAATACTTCAGATATTTTCGTTTTATTTGGAACTGGAATGAAAAGCTATGCTACTAAGGTTGCTAATACAAAGAAAAAATAACTGTGATATTTGCAGAGAACAATGGATAGCTCCCAATCAAATTGTTTATTGACATTTTTTTCTTGCGTCTACAAATGAAAAATATATAAAAAATAGAGTTTGAAATCCTGAACGATATTGTCATATTACTGCAGGACGTCAGGAATTAAAGATATTCCAGTTTGAATTTAATTTACATCTAATTAGGCTCTATGGTATGACTTGCCTGCATTAATTGGCAAATCATTTCAATAATGATTTCTTATATTTACGCGAACAATACACATTTTTAAATAAAACTAATTTTACGGATTTTATCGCGTATATTAACTTATTTTTATATTCCCGACGTTTCGGGTGCTTTCCAGCACCCGTGGTCACGGGGGACTGAGTTGTTTGACGTCCTGCTGTCATAGTTAGCCCGACTACCTTCAGTTTTTTAATATTATTTTTTTTTAAATTTTTGGTTCGATTTACGCAGAATGAGCTTACAGTATCTTGAAGTCTAGCAGTGGTATACTTGGGTTTGGATTTGATTTTATTAATTATGGGATCCCAAGCAGATGGCAGCACCCATCCATCTTCTCTATTGAAATTAGGATGTTTTTTAATTTCAATAGCCTCGCGAATCATCCTTGGGAGGAATCGGTGTTCTTTTGCGAGGATTTGTGGTCTATCAAATCTAATGTAATGACGGGGACGATCCTGAACATGTTCACAAACTGCAGACTTCCCGATACGTCGGTGCTTCACGTCAGCTATATGTTCTTTAACGCGGGTTTTAATAGATCTTTTTGTTTGTCCTATGTACGAGAGACCACATTCACAATCCAGCTTGTACACTCCTGCATCTTGTAGAGGGATATGACACTTGACGGATGGTAAAAATTGACCAATCTTCTTCAGCGGCTTGAAGTATGTTTTAATGGAAGCTCGCTTCAAGTTGTAGCCAACCTTGTCTGTGACTCCTCTGACATAGGGTAGTACAGCAGGCACACGCTCGACTGTGGCTGGCTTCACTCGGTTACTGTGACGTAGGCGCGGGACCCGAAGCTTGTTGTCTTGCAGTACTTGCTCGACGTGCTGAAGCTCGGCGGCCAGATGTTTTCTGTCACAGATCCCTCGTGCTCTCTGAAACAAAGATTTTCCCATTAATATTAAAAAACTGAAGGTAGCCGGGCTAACTATGACAGCAGGACGTCAAACAACTCAGTCCCCCGTGACCACGGGTGCTGGAAAGCACCCGAAACGTCGGGAATATAAAAATAAGTTAATATACGCGATAAAATCCGTAAAATTAGTTTTATTTAAAAATCATTTCAACCTTAGAGTAATTACATACATAGTGTTCATAGCCTACAATTCTACATAAATTGAGAAAATTACATCCCTATTCTAGTAGTAATATGTATGACGTTATTTCACATGACATTTTTTTATTAAGATTTTTTGGCTTGGATGCTTGTCCTTTAAGCCATATCTTCATTTATTTCAATATCAAGACATAATAATCCTATATAGTACATTGCTTCACAATATGTTGATGCGTCACATTGCACAGTTCTTGGAACATTTTCGCGGCAACTCGAGCCAGCAGACAGTTGGCGATGGTATCTCAAGGCGGCTAAGCGGATAGAATCTTGAAATTCATATTACCTTCGAAGCACTTGTATCACCTTTTCCACTAATAGTTCACATGCGCAGACATTTCATACGCAAAGCAGCACCACTTTTACATATCAAAGTCCACTTTAAACCATTATTTAAACAATAAATACAGAAGCAGCAATGCGCCGCCGGTCAACTGACGTCTTTAATCTATAATGATTTCCTTTCCAATTTTAGCAATAATCGACATCTATACGCTCTATTGTGTTTGTTTGTTAATTATTTATTACTATATTTTTAGTTTAAAAATATAAAAGAATATAAAAATTAAAAAAGTAAATAGTTTCTAAATCAAGTGATGATGATTATATTGTTACGAGCTTGGGATTCGAGATAATTAAAAACTGCCGAGTGAATTACCAAAATTGACTATTATTATTTAATTACACAACACTAATAACAACTTAAAATCACACTAATAATAAAACACAGTTCGCCGTTATTTCGCTTCGAAGTATTCCCTTGTATCGCTAATTCAATACTGCCCCAGTCGTGGTCTATACCGGCCTTATATAGGGCCTCAGATAGTTTCCAGAACCTTCTACTGTAGCGACATCTAGAATGTTTGAGTACATATCGGTCCCGAAATTTCTGGAAGTATCTCGACTCTCCTAGTTCTGCTACTCGACACTAGAGAACGCTAGTTTAACTAGTGTTGCCATGTATAGTGGCACGTAACACTTTCTTTTACTCGACACTAGAGGGCGCTAGTGTAACTAGTGTTGTCATGTACAAGATATTAATAGTGGCGCGCAACAATATTATATTGCAAATATTAGTGTGCATTCGTTATAAAAATTAATTTTAACATTCGACTTAAATATGCATTTAAACTTAATAATTTAAGTAAGGAAACTTGTAGGAATCAGTTAAACTTATTTAGCTCCGTTTAAAGGCCAATATGTTTATGAGGCTACTCTCTCTTTCTTTTATCTGTCCCTGAAAAATAACAAACTTATTATCGTTTTAGATGCATGAATTTAAAAACATAATGATATTACACAGACTAGACAAATACGCAGGAGATATGAAAGTGTACCAGGTGTCTGAGGATACAGATGCACTGACTATTCTCTCAATCTTGGTATTTTAAGAAGACGGTGACCAATCCATGGACTGAATGTGACAAGCGCAACTTAATCTCGCAGAACTATTGATCCGTGCAGCTGTTAATAAACACAAGTTCCTCTCCTCTACGCATAACGCCGTAGGCGATGAACCACGCTATTTAGCCCTTGACACACTGTCGTCGGGTACCAAGCATAAATCGGGCATCGGGCGTTGTGAGTATCAAATTCTTTTTTATAGGATCGGGTGACAAACGAGCACACAGTCCACCTGATGGTAAGTGGTTACTATGACTCATAGACATCTACATCTATCCTCAATAAAGACTCAAGATGCAGATGCGTTGTCACCCGTGAGGACTAAGATGGAATGCCTCTTTGCCAGTAATCTCCGGTTCTCTACACTCACCATACGAAACACAGCAGTGTTAAGCTGCTATTTTACGCTGGTTTTCTGTGAGAGCGTGGTCCTTCCCCGGTCGAGCCGAGCCATTCGTGCTACAACTATACTACTAATATAGCTGCAGCATGGCTCTACCACGTATAAAACTTTAAAAACGTTAGGTAAAAATAGAAATAGATTTTTATAGATTATAAAACTGCAGTATATTAAAAATAAAAAACTTTGAGATTATCTTATTAAAGCCATTATGAACCCAACTGAGTATCTATTCATCAACCAAACAAATGTATAACCTTACTTAACCAGCCGCACCTCACGGTCTCATTAGTACAATATTTATAACATCACGTTGTTTTCCCTAAGGGGTTGAGCGGAGCCTCGAACTATATACCCAAGTCACAATGATAAAACTTTTGATTTAGTTAGATATAGATATTTAGTGCTGCTCCTGTAGCGCCCCTAGATGCCCGAGCGCCGCTAGATGCCCGCGCATGAGACGCGTAATCCAGTTTACCAGGATAGTATAAATACCATAGTATTTGTTTTGTTCCATAGTTTTTTTTTATTTTTTACGTGGTAGAGCCATGCTGCAGCTATATTAGTAGTATAGTTGTAGCACGAATGGGTCGTCTCGACCGGGGAAGCACCACGCTCTCACAGAATACCAGCGTGAAATAGCAACTTAATGCTGCTGTGTTTAGTATGGGCAGTGTAGAGAACCGGAGACCTATTTTACTGGAAAAGAGGCATTCTATCTAAGTCCTCACGGCTGACAATGCATCTGTATTTTGATTCGCAAACGAGGATAGATATAGATGTGTATGGGCCACAGCAACCACTTACCATCAGGTGGACTGTGTGCTCGTTCGTCAGCCTAATTCTATAAAAAAAAAAGTTAAAT